AGGAGTCCATGCTGTGGGGAACAAGTCAGTACATCAGGCCCTGGAGTACCAACCTATCCTTCCAGGTCAGCTGCTCACCTGAGGACTGGATGAGGAAAATGTGGATGTCCTGGTGGAGGCGTTGGATTTTCAGGTAGGGACAATGGAATTGCCGGCAGAGAGGCAGGCAACGATGCAGGGATGGCAAGACCGAGGGAGGCAGCCTGGGCATCGCTCCAGGCGGAGGGTGGACAGGATGACTCACTGGACCATCAGGTATGTTGGAGATAACGAGATGTCCCCAGCGCAACGCGGGCAGCTCCATTCGCCTGGCCTGGTTTGATATGGGTTGCTGTGTCCACCACCCAAAATCTTCATCTTGAATTGTAGTTTTTTATAGATCGCCCAAGTGTCGTGGGGGTATTGAAGCATGGATAGAGTGAGTTTACCCGTTCATGCTGTTTTCCTGTGACAGTTGAGTTCTCACGAGGACTTGATGAATATGTAGTTTTATTATGTTGTTTGGGAAGGAGGTTCTGGCCCTCTGTTGCCAGGGCTGGGGTGCGTAGCCATGATCCCGGTCACTGCAACTCTTGCGCCGCCAGGGTTCAATGTGATTCTCCTGCTCAGTGTCTCCTGAGTAGGCTGGGATTAACAGACACGCGCCACCATGCCCAGCATTTTTTTTTTTTTGTATTTTTCGATAGTGAGCAGGGTTTCAATGTGTTTAGCAGGAGGGTTCGATCTCCTGGACGCTTGTGAGGTGCACGCTGCTCGGTCTCTCAAAGTGCTGGGATTACAGGCTGTGGAGCCACGCGCCAAGATGATCTGGATGGTATTTATAAGCATTGGGCAAGTTCCCCTGGCCTGGCGACCTCATTCTCGCTTCCTGCCGCCTTGGTGAAGGAGGTGCCCTTGCTTCCTTCGTTCGCCCACTGTGTAAGGTTTCCTGTGAGGCCTCTCCAGCCATGCCTGGAAAAAACACTGGTGAGTCACGTTAAAAGCCTTCCTTTGTAAATTAACCCAAGTCTTCGGTATGTCTTTATACTTAGCAAGTGTGAGAAATCAGACTAAGCATAGTGGCTTCGTCAACCGTGTTTCTCCCTGCAAAACCTACCTCCAGAGGCCGATCTGTGTTTGAAACATGGGAAATGCACACACCCCTGGTCCGGGGTTTCTCCTTTAGATGTACGTCAGCCTGGGCAGGGGGCCGCTTGGATGCCACAATTCCAGCTTAGCCTGCTTCTAGTGGGGAAAAAGGGGAATCCTTGTGGCGGGGCATCGTCAGTGGTTGAGCGGCGGATGGTCTGAGAAGGGGAATTTGAGACAGAACTGTTTGCAGGACCTCTCCCAGGAAGAAACTCGGCCTGGAGACCTGGACGGGACGCTCAGCTACGGGTCCAGGGGACGACCAGCCTCTGCCAAGGGAGGCGTCTTGGTACTTCCACGCTCCACAGGGGGTAGTTTGGAGGTAAATGAGACTTTGTCTCCAATCATCACTGTTGTACGAGAATATATAATGCACGTGAAAAGGGACATTTCTTTTGTTTTCTTATTTTTTAGATGGAGTTTCACTCTTGTTGCCCAGGCTGGAGTGCAATGGCACGATCTCGGCTCACCACAACCTCTGCCTCCCAGGTTTGAGCGATTCTCCTGCCTCAGCCTCCCGAGTAGCTGGGTTTACAGACATGTGCCACCATGCCCGGTTAATTTTGTATTTTTGGTAAAGACGGGGTTTCTCCATGTTGGTCAGGCTGGGGATCCTCAGGTGATCCACCCGCCTCGGTTTCCCAAAGTGCTGGGATTACAGGAGTGAGCCACCGCGCCTGGCCATAAAATACTTTTCTATTGTCTACTTGCTGCACTTGAAGAAAGCAAAAAGAAGTAGGATAAATTAATTTTAAAAATAAATTTTAAATAAAGGTGACAGCATGGGGAAACTTAATGAGAAGTAGTTTCTCAGTTGTAACAAATTTCATTTATTCTTTTTCCTATGACCTCCTTCCCCGCTGTCTTGAAGCAGAGCAAAAGGACACTGCATGTCTCATTACTGTAGCACCAAGGTTACTGAAGTTACATAAAACACATCTCAGCCAGGGCGGTGGCTCAAGCCTGTAATCCCAGCACTTTGGGAGGTCGAGACGGGCGGATCACGAGGTCAGGAGATTGAGACCATCCTGGCTAACACGGTGAAACCCCATTCCTACTAAAATTGCAAAAAATTAGCCAAGCATGGTGGCAGGCACCTGTAGTCCTAGCTACTCAGGAGGCTGAGACAGGAGAATCACTTGAACATGGGAGGCAGAGATTGCAGTGAGCCCAGATAGCGCCATTGCACTCCAGCCTGGGTGATAAGAATGAGCCTCTGTCTCAAAAAAAAAAAAAAGATAAATGTATAAGTGTTTTTCCAAGAACAGAAAACCAAATACTGCATGTTCTCACTTCTAAGTGGGAGCTGAATGATGAGAACACATGGACACACAGAGGGGAACAACACACACTGGGGCGCAGCGCTGGCTGGAGGGTGGGAGGAGGGAGAGGATCAGGGGCTATAACTAATGGGTACTAGGCTTAATACCTGGATGATGAAATAATCGGTACAACAGATCCCCAGGACACAAGTTTACCTTTGGAAGAAACCTGTACTTGAACCCCTGAACTTAAAAGTTAAAAAAAAATCAGTGTGTGTTTTGCACACAAATGCAGACTTTGCATAACCACATGACTTCATAGTTGTGATCTCAAGAAAAAGGGCATTTCTCCTTTATCTTGTTCTTGCAGCTAACAAAAGAATACTTTACATTTCTAAGCTTCTGAAGTGTTAGAGGAAGAGATGGTCCAGTAAACAAAAAACTACTTGTCTCAAAAGAAAAAAAAAAATTTGTGTAGAGGTGGGTTTCATATGATTGCCACACAGGCGTCATGGTATCAGATGG